TACTGGATCGGTCCCTGGTGTTTTCAAGTTTTTATGACTTTTGTACTTTTCCTATCTTTGCCTATCCACTTTTTTCCCAGGCCAGCTTGAAGGGATACCTTCCTTAAAAATGGTTTAAAATAAATAAATAAATAAATGCAAGATAGGCCCTTTATATTCTTAAATTTCATCTTTTGATGCGTGTGAGTCTGTTTCAGTAAATGAAAATTAACACTAGTGAATGGTGTAAAGTATTTTTTAAGCACATGATTATTATGAGTGAACGAAGTTTATTCATTGTGTCAAACTTGTCTAATATTGTACAATACACCACAGACACCACTGACCATTGTCTAGCTTACTTCCACAAGGAATGGAATCAACAGACAGTGTTTCTTGTGGCTATACTGTATGTTGTGGCTGGCTGTATACATATAATTTTATTTCTAGGTATGTTATGGAGTTGTGGGTTGGTTAAGGTGCTTACATATACAGTATACCTTATAATCCTACAGTATGGTTCTGGATTCATATCTTGTTAACAGACAAGGATTTTTTTTCACAACCAAAACAACTCCACCAGTCGCGGCGCTAGGATCTCCCCAATGACTGGGCCGTAGAGCTAGGGAGGGTTTGCAGGAAGATGACATTCATTACAATAATTTTTTAAGATTAACTATTCTGTAATTCGTATTTATCTTTTAGAGTTTTATAATACTTAAATGTTATTTGTATTTAATTGGACATTTTTTTAATTAAATTTTCTAATTTACCTCTTTAACATTACAAAATCATTTTTATGTTTTAATAGTGATTTCCTTTTTAACAATATTTTACGATATTATTTCGATGCGAGTTTGCGTCAGGAAAATATCATAGGAGTGATGTTTTGCCCTACCTCACATGTTATCGAACCACATACTCATTTTCAGTATCTGCTTTTACCTGGAGATCAGATTAAGCACTAGTCACTGAGCGCAAGCTCTGTAGTCTAGGTGTTATGGTGCCAGGCTAGGTATCTGGAGGTTGTGGGTTCGATTCCCACCTGAATCGCTTACAAATGTTTTCGTAATTATTTGGGAATCTGAGTATTCGGTACAATAACTTGTCATGTAGGGCAAAACATGACTCCTATAATATTTTACAAAGTAAATCTTAAATTTGCCTGCACATGTATCTTTAAAAAAATACTGTGTAAAATCATTTTTCCCTTTTTATCTTTTTAATGTTTTACGCCCTTTAATTTTTTGTGTTTTAAATTTGTATTTTTATGCAGTTTCATATATATATATATATATATATATATATATATATATATCATCA